TTGAAGCAGATACCCAAATAAACCATAAAATAATCTCATTAATTTCAAAAGATAAAGGGATCTTACAATGGATGGTCTCTAAACATAACAGAACTTCATCTTAAGGGTCAGTAACAAGATATACAAAAATTCTACAGTGTTTGGAAATGAAACAACCCTGCAAAACAAATGAGCACAAGAAAAGTCACCCGAGAAACTAGAAAATACTGTAACCAGTGATAACCAAAACACAGTAAAGTAAAATTTGATTAACAGAGCTAAAGCAGGGTCTGGAGGAATTTTACAGCTCCGTCTATGTTAGGGGGGAAAATATGGTTTAAATCCAATGATCCAAGTTTCTACCATGAAAGGCTAGAAAGTGAAGAACAAATTAAACCCAGAATAAATAGAAGAGATATAAAAATAAGTATCAGAGAAGAAAGTAATGAAATAAAAACATAGACAATAAATAACAAAACAAAAAGTAGGTTCTTTAAACAAAATGATTAAAAACAGACAAACCCCAAGACTCTTTTTTTCTCACTCCAAAAAAGGGGGAAAGAAAATAAAAATAACCAATACCAAGAATAAAAAGGGAATAATACAAAACCCACAAACCTCAAATTAATTATAAGAAAACACTATCAACAACTTTATAGCAGCTAAATTTAAAAACATAATATTTGAAAATGCAATATATTCAAGTAAATTCCTGACACATAGAACCCTGTAGATCAGGGGTTCTCAACCTTCCTAAAGCCGCGACCCTTTAATACAGTTCCTCGTGTTGTGGTGACCTCCAACCAGAAAATTATTTCATTGCTCCTTCATAACTGTCATTTTGCTACTGTTAGGAATCGGGAACCCCTGTGAAAGGGTTGTTCAACCCCCAAAAGGGTCGCAACCCACAGGTGAGAACCGCTGCTGTAGATGGAACTGTAAGCTACCATCTTGATGAACAAATATAAGAGCGTACACAGAAAAGCTAACAAAACGAACCTCCTACAGTGGTAAAAGCAGATCAGCAGTTGAACCTGGGGCACAGGATCAGGGGTGGCAACTGACTGCAAAGGACTGCAAAGGGGTTTTCTGAAGGGATGGAAATGATGTAATTCTTCATTGGGGCAACACTTACACATGTGTATACAACTGTCAAAACTCATCACCCTGTACGTCAATAACCTGAATGCAGGTGAATGCTACGTATATCTCAATAAAACAGATTTTTTAACCAATTAAAAACAACCACACCAGCATGAAGTAATATCACTCAGCCAAAGATTTTTAAATTATTTTTATTCAGGAAGATTTTGTGTGGATTACATAGAAAAAATAAAATAAGAACATACATTTTAAAATTTAATGATTTTGAAAGAAAAACTAACAACCTTCCTGTCGGTTATATACCCTTTTAAGAAGATAACTCAATGCCCTGAGAGTAAGTAGTGACTCACAGCAACTCCTTGGGGGTTTCAGAGACTGTAACTGTTTATGGGAGTAGCAAACTCAGTCTTTCTCCAGAGGAGCTGCTGGTAGTTTCGAACTGCCACCCATGCAGCCCAACTCATAATCATTACAAACACAGGAAATAAAAACTATGCTACTCTAGTTCACAAATGTAACTTTCCTGTGTGCTAAAACCCAGCACCGTGCCTTAGGAGACAATTGTGTGAATGTAATAAACCCCAAGTCAATAGATCTAAGTTCAAAGGATGACTATGTGTAACATATTAGCTTTGTGACATTAAGTAAATCACTTAATCCTTTTACATTTCTTCATTAATTACCGGGGTTTATGTAAAGATTGTGGTTGGCATGAGCCATCAAGTTGATTCTGACTCAGACCAATCCAATCAAGTTTCCTATGGTGCACTCTTTATGGGAGTCAATCAGCAGGCCTATTCTCCCACAGAGCTGCAGGAGGTTCCAAGTGCCAACCTTTCAATTAGCAGCTGAACACATCACCAAACCACCAGCAGGGTTCCTCCAGGTAAAGATTAAGGGATATTATTTAAAGGCATCTGGTGAAGCACATTACAAATAAAGCTATATTGCTCACAGTACGTCTCAATAGACACTGGCTAAATGAAGAAATGAAACAGATAAACAAGAATGTGAACAGAGAGAGGGAAGCAGACAGGAAGCGGACCAGGGAAAGCATGCTTTTGGTCACATTATTTTTCTCTCTATTGGTAGAAGTCAGTGCAGAACACAGTCTTCCAAAACGTAATTACTTAATGCCAATGTTCCTATCATGAGGAGGTAATGGGGAGGATAGGGCTAATCTCCCAGAATTAATATACTTTCACCCTAGTTTGAATCACGTAATTCTGGGCTAACAAACCCCCATGCCGGCAAATAGCATGTAAAGGAAGCTACGTGTCTAATGTAAGACCCCATGGGCTTGCCTGGGGTTCCTAAGAATTGCTGGGAGTATTCTCTTACTCCGGACCTTTGAAATGCCAACAGAATTGAAGAAGACGGCTCAAAGTATTCCATGTATCTTTACACTCGGGTTCTGGAGACATCACTGTAAATGAGATAACCAGAGCATCTATTTTATGGCTACAGCATCAGTGATTAAATCAAGAGGTTGACTGATTTTCAGTAATGTTACAAAGAATGATACAAAGTTCCGAGAGTTTTCAAAAGTTGTACAGCAGCTTAAAAACCCAGCGAGTAAGCATGGGTAACCCGCATTAAAGACCAGAGGAGCTACAGTCTAAGGGTCTCAGTGTGGGGCCTGCAAAAGCAGGGAGCCTAGAAAGGTAACACTCACTCATGATGTGGCCTGATTAGCTGATAGAGATTTTAACAGAATGCTACAGTGGCACAAAGAAAGGATAAGAGCTTGGGGATGGGAGGAGAAGGGGCGTTAGTTAGGTAAGATAGTCCTGAAAGAAGTGATAACCTGTGCTGAATCCTACACCACAGTTAGGTGCTATTTGGGCAAAAACAATTGCAGGCCGGGTCATGCATTCAGACTTGAAAGGTTTGGGAGATGCCATTGTCAGGAATTGCAAGTAATCCTATGTGAATGGAGTGTGTGTGGTGAAGTGAAAGTACTTGGTGTGACTCTTTTGGCAATAATCTTTTAACTCTCACCAAGTGACTGGGTAGGAACATGAAAATAAAGGATAGAAGGCTCTAACTTGAAGATATGTCAGTTTTGCCATTTCGCTGGAGAGAAGTCAGAAGGGAAAATCCCACAACCATCAAGAAAAAAGAGCCACCGGTGAAGTGTGTGCAAGAACCCTTCAATCCCACCCCAAGTGGTGGAGGTGTCCAAGGCACCAGAGGCCACAGCACTGAGGCCATGAGACACAGCGGAGAAGCTGCACTGAGACCAGGACACAGGCAGTGGGCTTCACGGCCCAACGAACAAGTAAATCTGAGTGCCTTTAAGTAGGAGGTTGGCTTGCAATGTAGGATACATTTCCCAGCATTAAAGAGCTCTGTAACACTTGTCCGAGCAGGGTCAGAGGCCAAGGAGCCAAGTGGCTGAAAGGGAGCCCAGAGAGACATGGCTGAGAAGACCTGTGGTGTTGACAAACGAACTACCTTCGTAGCATTTCAAGACCTGTTAACTTCCCTAATAAACCCCTACAATTGTGAAGGTTGCCTGTGAGCTCTGTGTGGCCACAGCAATGGACCGATGATCAAACCCTGCTGAGAAGCTGTGTCCAGGAAGATGTCAGAATAAAGGAGGGTGGAGGCTTGACTGACATCTGCCTAGCAGCGATCCTTCTTAGGCTGGTGTTGAGCTGGATTCGCCTCCCGATCTGTATGACCCCGGGAAGTCACAGTGCCTCTCATGCCATGGGCTCACAGGGCCAGGGGTCTTCGGGAGATCTTTTCATTTCCTTTACATCAGGCTTGTGGTTGTTGGGTGCCATCCAGTCAATCTCAAATCACAGTGACAGAAATCAGTTTCCCAGACTGTTGCCTTGACAGCAGCAGACGGCCACTTCTTTCTCTTGTGGAGCTGCTGGATGGATTTGAACTGCCAACCTTTGGGTTACCAGTGAAGCGTTTAACCACTGCATTACGGGGACTGCGTGTAAAGGCCACAGAATGTCATTGAAGAGTATCTGGGAAAGCACGCGGCAAATCAAGTTATAATGTTCACAGTAAGCTTCAACAGATGCCGCTTAAAGGAAGTAATACAATCAGGTTACAGAATTTCTATTTTACCTTGAAGATGAGGACTAGCCACTGGAGGATTTTTGACATGCAGCACATGCAATCAAATAGTATTTTCACAAAATCATTTTGGCAACTATATGGAGAACAGATTGGAGAGGGGCAAAAGATGAGATAAGAAAACTGGTTAGGAGCCGCTTGAAGTCATCACTGTGAGGCTGGCAGGGGTCTAGAACAGCAGCACTCAGAATGGAGAAGAGTATAGACAGAGTAGGCTCTCAAGACGTGTTCTCTGAGTTATGTGAAGGTGAGAAAAAAGCCGGGATCAAGCACGATTCCCAGGACTCGAGCTTGGATGTCTAAGCGGATAGACCTGTTGTTCATGGAGACAGAATAAGTCCACTTATATTTGAAAGCATAAAAAACAATGATACTGTGCTAACTTTAAAAAAAATTAAGACAAACACAAGTAGTGGCTGCTTTAGACAGTAAAGAGACCTATCTCTGAGAAAAATCAAAAGCTTAAATTCACAGAGAGGAATAAGTCAGCGTTAAAGGCATTCCTGTCTAACATATGTTGATGAATGTATAATCAAATAATGCCAAAGACAATTCACTAACAAGAGAGCCATCTACTGCCTCTCAAGAATAGTGCAGCAATGCAATGCCGCAAGAACCATGGGAAGAAAGCCAAGAGCTTCTGACCAATTCACACAGTACAAAAAATATCTGACACCTCCAGCCAAGAAAAAAAGAAGTTTAATTCCAAAAAGTCAGCATTTTCAAGTAATAGCCAAGTGCTTTCACTTACTTATTCCCCTTTTTATACAACCACCACAATTTAAATATAAAGCATCGTGTGAATGTGAAACACTTACCTGCCATCATTGCTATCATGCTGGCTTTGTAGATATTAGTAAGAGATCCAAGTTCTCCTGTTGCCAAGATGGTTTTGAGATGAGCCTCTCCACAGGCCTTCCGAAACTGCCGAATCTCATCGTAAAGGGCTGGGGAAGGAAATAATTGAAGTCGTTACAAGGCAGGCAAGTGATAACATAACTTGGCAGCCGTTTAGAGCTGGTAGAACCCATTTTAGATTTAGGAAACATAAAACATTTGTCACTTTCTAAAAATCACCCCAATTTAATATTGCCTCCAGCATTCTGTTGCAGTTCACATCCTGTTACAGGGAATGCTTAGTTTGCTACCACGAAACTATTTCTAAGCCCTGGCCCGAGGTCCAGAGTCATGGAGCTTTTCAAATATCATTACCATGACATTCAAATTACAAACAGTGTCTATCTCTCCCATATGACAATTACTTAGAAGGAAGGGGAAGAAATCTACCTAGCATACCATGGTATGCCACTTTGCTAACTAAAAAAATGAACGAGGTCCTTATTAATTCTTCTGTTCTCTTGTTAGGATGTAAAGCAGGCCTTCTGTGGAGTGCTACCACTGAAAATAAAGACAGGACAGCTGGTCCCAGTCTCTGCCAGCATGTGTGTCCACCGATCTGTAGGGGTGTGTGTCACACAGCGTAGTATCTCATGGGGTCCCATGAACCTGCTCTCCTCCTGTATCAGACCAAACAGAATCCGTAATAATGTTCACCATTAATTTTAATCAGAAACATGATAGCGGTAAATTGCTAAAATGTAGTATTTCTCACATTATATGACTACAATTTAGAGTACTAAAAAAGATGTTACTTTGAGAACCAAGGTCTGACCCAAGCCATGCTATTTTCCACGGCCTCATATGCATGTGAAAGTTGGACACTGACTGAGGAAGACCGAAGAAGAATCCATGCATTTGAAATGTGGAGCGGGAGAAGAATATTCAAAGCACATGGTCTGCTAAAAGCACAAACTGGTGGGTCTTAGAAGAAGCATGGCCACGTGCTCTTTAGAAGCAAGGATGGTGAAATGTCATCTCACAAACGTTGAACATACTGTCAGGAGAGACCAGTCCCTGGAGATGAACATCATGCTTGATAGAGGGAAGGGGCAGCAAAAGAGAGGAAGGCTCTCCAAGAAGAGACGGATTGCCACCGTGGCTGAAATAATGGATCCGAGAGTGACAACAATGATGAGCATGGCATAGGAGCGGGCAGTGTTTTCTTCTGCTGTGCACAGAGTTGCTATGGGTATAAGTGACTTAACGACCCAGAGAAACAACAACAGCCTGAATACTAACAACAAAATTCTACAATCTTTCTACATTTAATTCCAACATTACCATTTCCAACATTATTACGTAATGAGCAGAAGCCTTTTGGGGTGTTTTCCTTTGATTACTACCTCATTCTGCAAAAGAGTTCCTGGCATGGGTTTCCAAATACTAAGTACAACAACATGTGGCTATAACACAAGAAAATCCGACAGAATCAGCAACTGTAGCAACACTGGCAGCAGCTGAAAACAAGGCCACAGGCCTTCAGCTCGTGCAGACTGTAGCACGCACGTTGACACATGCGTACAACCGGGTGACAATGACAGCTCTGACCAGAGTGCAGTCTGCAAAATAACTCTGCCAATGAGGCCTTCCGACTCATAGCGAACCTACAAGAGAGAGTACAACTGCCTCTGGGCTTCTAAGACTAAATCTTTTTTTTTAAATCATTTTAGTGGGGGATCTTATAGCTGTTGTAACAATCCATAGACCAACTGCATCAAGCATATTTGTACATGTTACCACCATTGTTTTCTAAACATTTACTTTCTATTTGAGCCCTTGGAATCAGCTCCCTTTTCCTGCCCCCGCCCCCAACCCTCGAGACCCCGATAAAATATAAATTATTATTGTTTTCATGTCTTACACTGACCACTGTCTCCCTTTACCCATGTTTCTGCTGTCCACCCCCCTGGGAGGTGGGCGGATTATGTGATCATTGTGATTGGTGCCCCCTTCCTCCACACCTTTGCCCACCTTTTCCCTACCCTCCTAGTATCACTACTCCCACTTTTGTTCCTGAGGGGCTTATCTGACCTGGATTCCGTGTGTCATAAGCTCTTATCTGTACCAGTGTACATGCTCCGGTCTAGCCAGGATTAAAAGGTAGGACTGGGGTCATGATAGTGGGGGGGTGAGGAAACTTCAAAGAACCAGAGGAATATTGTGTGTTTCATAGGTGCTATATTGTGTCCTGGCTGACTCATCCCTTCCTTGTGACCCTTCTGTGGGGAGATGGATGTCCTACTGTCTACAGATGGGTTTTGTGTCTCTGCTCTGACCCCCCTCGTTCTCAACAATATGTTTTTGTTTGTTTGTTTGGGGTCTTCTGGTGCTGGTTACCTGATTCCATTGATACCTCATAGCATAGGTTGCTGTGCTTCTTCCTTGTGGGCTTGTTGCTTCTCTGCTGGATAGCCAACTAAGAATAAGTCTTTATGGGAGTAGAGAGAATTCTCTTTCTCTCCCGGAGTGGCTGGTGGTTACAAACAGCTGACCTTGCTGTTAGTAACCCAATGTGTAACCCACTACGCTATCAGGCCTCCTAGAGAATGCACTGGAAGGTTCAAAAAGTAAATCAGCCTAGAGATTGAGTCTTTTAAATATACGATTACAAAAAAATGTTTTTGTAATTGTAACTAATTATCTAAAAAACCCACTGTTATCAGATCAATTCCAACTCATAGCAACCGAGTGATACTATACATTTTCACTTGGACAAATAGCCTCTTCTTTCTTCCGAGAGGCAGCTGGTGGGTCTGAACCATGGACTTTGCAGTTAGCAGTCCAATGAATACCTAGCAACACCATCATGCCTCCCATAACTAATTACTGGGATATTTTAATTAAAAAATTTTCTGCTCAAACATTACACAAAAATGTTATTGACAGTCATTTGGGTGTCACACACCCTCTGGCAGTGTCACTCAGTGTAGTTCACACTGTCCACTCCACCTAGCATGTATCTGACTGAACTGTTTTCTGCCTGGCCAGACAGCATCAAATCCAGGTGGACAAAGCCACCTGTGGTGCAGTTCAGAGATGCAGTCTTCACCTTGCGCATCCTGGGTTCAACACTACACCTGGCTCTGCAGGGCTCCATGCACTGCTCCCGAAAACAGTGTCATTAGGCACACACACACACACACACACACACACACAATTTCCCTCAAAAAATACACATGCACACACACACTAAAATAAAATTGAAAGAAGAAACACCTTTCTTCAGATATTTAACAAATAACTATCTATTAAAGTATAATGAGCACTAAAATTTCACAAAGAATATCCAGCACACTCCTTTGGAAAGAACACTAATGGACGTAGCTCTTGCCCTTCATCAGTTTTGTCATCCCCTCTTCTTGGACTACGGCTACTGCTACACTATCGTGTCTGAGATCAGATCCTTAATTTTCTCTTTCCGCGTAGGTTTCACAATAAGTAGTTTTATTGTAAGTGCATGGCTAAAATTCAGATAGGGAAAGCACTCACAGTAACTATAAGGGTTAGGATTAGCATTTTAAATGAGACGTCCACAGTTCACAGGTTTACTGCAGCACATTTAAATGACTGCAAATCCATCTCAAGTCAGCAAACTGAAGCCAAACCATAGAAGTTGAAACAAGATACCCATGGCTTGCCTTCCCAACACTGGACAACCTAAGCATACGCGAAAGCTCAAAGGTGAACGCTGAGCACAAGTCAAGGCAAACATTCCATTCAAGATGGTTGATCAAGGTTAGAGTCCATGACCACCAAGAGATGGTATCTACGGAAGGTTTTTAAACAAAGAAGCAAACATTTTCTTCAAAATTAGGTAGCTCTGAGTGCTGGAAATGATCGAAGATGCCACCTGGCTGCCTGACCCAGGAGAGAATCACCTTCCCATATGTCCAACGCGGCAACGTGTGCGAGATAGAAGCAGTAAAAGACTAGGCACCAACAACAATTGATGTTCTTTAACTTCAGAGAAGGAATATCGGATGGAATGGCATGCCCTGCGCTGCTGACTCGAAAAGGAGAAAGTTGTTCTCTGAGAAGTGACACCGAAATCTTGCGATCTAAAAATTTAAGAATGCTAATCCATATTTAACTTGTGATTTGATTGATGATTTTCCTCCACAGTGGAGTGTTGTCATCAAAAGCAGGCTTCAGAGTCAGACAGATGCCGATTTAACAGCCAGCTCATCACGTCCTGTGTAGCCTAAGGCAAGTTACTTCTTTCAGCCTCAATGCCATCCTTAAATGATGGATAAGAATGTTGACCAGATAGGGTGGGTTACTGTAAGGACTATAAAATAGAATACATAGAAAATACACACTGCCTGGGATACTATAAGCACTCCAAAGGTGTAATTACTATTAAATTCAGAATTCTGGTAAAATGACTTGCCTTTAAATGTTGTTGGGTAAAAGTGAGCACTTACTTCACAACCGGACCTAAATCCCTGTATAGCACCAAAATGCTGCCATATGAATTAGTGCCTATCCCAACCAGTAGATAGGGCTAGCAAATGCTTTATTCTTATAACTTTCGCTAAAATGTGAACTTTGCTCTGTATACCACAATCCTTATACATGGATCCTTACTGCATTTATGGATAAAGCCACTGTCTTTTGTATTTTTTTTAACTGTTGTTTTCTTTTTACTGTGATTTGAGTGGAAGCGTACGGTGCATTCTTTCCCCATTGCTCATGCACAGTTACAATTTGTGGCACTGAATGCAACGCCCACCCCCCATGCTTACCGTTTCTTTGTCCTCCTCCCCTACCCCTAATTAGCTTCAGATCTTTCTCCCTGGGCAAATGCTGCCCTTGGGATCTCGTATAGCTGCTTGTTCTAAGGAGTGCAACCTCCCTGGTGTCACCTTTCACTTTTTAGGCCTCTTGTTGTTTGGCTATAAGCAGAGGCACAGGGGTAAGCTGAATTCGAAGTTTGAAGGATGACTAAAGGCCATAGTAACAGGGGATCCACCAGTTTCGATCAGTAATTCTGGTCTTTTTTGTTACAAATTAACACACACCGAGTGTGGGGAAACAGATCTACTTG